TTTCTACTTTTCTACCCTCCTCATCCGATCATTTCTGTGTAGTTGGCATTCTCTGAGTTCACGGTAAATCGATGTGATTTGAACAGTTATGACAAAGTGGCTCATGCTAGAGACTTTTGATAATTTTAGGCAACTGTGTCCCTAAAAGACATGAACACAGTTACATGAAAGAATAAAATCGCTTTCATTCTCCCAGTCGTCCTGAGAGGTGCGACTTGAGTTGACTTCTATAGGCTGTTTTTGATCGATTCAGCAATAAAATGCACCAATAAACTCTAAAAGCAGCTGACACTCTGTTGCATTTATGAATTTCTGTGCTGATTCAGTGCTATGGTGCTGAAGTATTAAGTCAAACAAATTTTATTTTTTTCCCGGCTCTATTGAAATGCTGCCTGTTTCAGCCAAAAAACTGCTCCCCATATGCCTCCTGCTGGTATCTGCACCCACAAAGTCAAGTCTCCCGTCACAGAATAAAGCCAGAATTCAGGTTTCAGATAAGTATACATTCCTCAGAAAACAGAAATAGTATGTCCAGGTCGAAAGTTAAACCAGCCCCTCTGCCACTGACCAATTCAGAGAATTATACATGTCACATTCTAAGAAAGACCCTCAATAAACAAAGAGAGCAAACTAAACCGGAAGGAAAACAATCTCTATGGAGCACCTTTCGCCAGTGCACAGAACAAGATGACATTTATTAATTGCCCAGAATGACCCTGGGAGGGAGGTCATTACTCCTTCTATTAACAGACATTAAGGAGTAGATATGCCTGGGGTGGCACTGTTGTTGACAAAACTGAGACCTGAACCAAAGTTTGGTATGAAAACCCGGTGCTTTATTACACTACGTTCCTTCCTGAGAATAAAAAGGAGGAAAGATTTATAGCTGAACAACATAGCTGCTTCCAAACGTAATCACAGAGAAAGAGCATGAGACTTGTTTTCCTTGACTCCATGAAGGAGAGCGATAACACTGAGGCTAAAATAGGAATTCTTTTCTAACACTGACCTGTTTGAGAATAGAAAGAGGCTTGGCCTCCTGAGTTTGAGACACTGCCACTAAACATGTCCAAGAAGAAGCTGAGTGCTCAGGTCTCTTCTGGGCTCTAAAATTATTGAATTTGAAGGTTCTAAGCAAAGTATCTATTCTCCAGAAAATCCTTGATATCAAGAACCCTTCTCTTGCCTGGCTGGTGTGGCTCAGTGGACTGAGTGCTGTCCCATGGACTGAGAGGTCCCGGTTCAACCCCCAGGCAGGGCACATGCCCGGGTTTCGGGCTCTATCGCCAGTAGGGGGCGTGCAGGAGGCAGCCGGTTGATGTTTCTCTCTCACATCGATGTTTCTCTCTCTCTCTTCCTTCCTCTCTCTCTAAAAAAATCAATAAAAACATATTTTAAAAAAATATCCCTTCTCTCCCAATCCATGGTTCCATCCCGTCCCCACTGTGTGACCTCAGGAAGTCCAACTGCTGTTCCTCAGCTCGCTTTTGCGTGAAACAGGAATAACATCACCTTCCACGCAAGGCTATTAGCAGATCGAATACGATAAGACTTGGGAAATGCTTACCCCTTGTAAAGCTCAAACAGTGTGAGTTACCTCTTCCTACGTGTCTGTGGGGTCCAGGTCAGTGTCAGAATCAGAGGAGCTGTCCTGGGGGTTTCTCCTCACGGTCACTTGAATGGCACCGAAAGCACAGGGGAGTGACGCTCCAGGAGGCCGGGGTCTCCCGAGACACGTGCTGGATCGGTCATGAGTGCGCTTTTGCTGCTGACCTGCCCGTGTGCCTGCTTGCCCACGCCCAGAGGAAAAGCAGGCAGTGTCCTTATGCCTACTCGCAGGCTTTCCGATGTGTGTTCTTGTAAGTTCTACACAAAAGCATCAATTAAGTTAGCTCTGTACGTGCCATCCACATCCTCTAACTTTTCCATTGGTGCATTCAATAAGTATAAGACTATTCTGTTATAATTCATCACAAACATGCTCTTCTCTCTCAAAGAGGGTTTGTTTGGCCACTGGTCGGTGTCCACTGCCCTTATTGGCTACAGAAAATATTTTAGAAACATGTAACAATTTAGTGTGTAAACCATCAAAACCTTCTCCTGCATGCCTACTTTCTAGTACCTGAAAAAGCTAACCGAAGACTTCAAAAGAGCACGAATTGTATTCAATATATATGTCTAATAATTAAGACACATTGATGGGCTATTTTAAAATCATCTCAGAAGTTCAAGCCACCATTGATAAGGAAAGATGCTGTAACAGAAGGATTCAATCACACCCAGAACTTTAAAGACTGTATCTGGTGTTTAAAGTAGGAAGACTTGTATAACTTTTATCTGTGTGTAGGAGAAGAGTGGGCGGAGAGTCAAACTCTCAGCAAGTTTAATTCCATTTGAATGGAAAGATAATTGATCATTTAAAACTGTATTGTCAGTCTATGGCCACGGTGGGTCTCGGGTTACTGTGGGGACTCAGAGGAGCTCAGAGGACTCCAAGAACAAACCTATTCTTACTCACTGCGTGCGCTGTGGCACCCAGAATACACCTGTTGTTCTTTTATTTTTACGAACAACAAAATTGAAGTGTGTGTGTGTTTATGTTTACAAAGGTTAAATAAACAAAACACCAAAAAATAAAAATGTAAACACATCATCATTTGAATCTTACCTTCTCTAAGCAGAAATATTTGACAACAGAAAGTTAGTAATTATGGTCCGTGAGAAAGCAAAATAGTCCTAAAATCATATATGCGAACAAATACATACGCAACAGCACAATCTATGCTATTCATGCATATGCATGAATATGTAGAGCTATACATGTTACATAACGGGGAAAAATGTTAAAATAAACAGAAGTCTACTGTTTATTTTTTCATAGCCTTTCCCACACATCTGTATATTATAAAACATAACAATCTGAGAATTCTATTGCTTTGAAAATTCCTGGACTATAAAAGGAATAAAAGTCAGATATAATCAGTGCAAAGAAATATTTAGAACAAAAACAAACCAACCAACCACAAACATGCTTCTTATCCCTGACCTAAGGTTCTTTAGCTCCGTACCTCAGAGACTATCAAGTCAACAGAGAGAAGATGAATTACATCAGAAGTAAAAAACCATGAAGCACCAGCAATCAAAGGCTATAATGAGTCTCTAACGTGTCTGGTTCATAGGGAAAGAAATACAAAAACTTGGCAAAGCACAAAAGGAAAAAAATAATCACCTGGCCATTTCAGAATTTGTTTTCAAAAACGATTTTTTTCTAGAAAAACGCAACTCATTGTTAAATGTGTTTCTCTTAAACACAATCAAACTCAGATGAGTAGGCATGAGGGTTATTAAATCAAAAGTAGAAATTTGTCTTCCTATCCTCTAAACCTGAAATTATTGTATTCCTATTTTCTCCAAGGGCTGTACTCGAAACTTGACCCTTCGATTCCTATCCCCCCTCAAAGGCACTGTATGTGTTCACTAATTTTCATTTTGCCAAGAATTTCTGGTCCGCTGATTCCGTTTCACAGGCAGTGTCTAAATGCTGTGCAGCGAGCCGCTGTGAGTGACAGTCATGCTACAATCACAACGGCAGCCATGAGTCAGCTAAAGGAGAAATGGGTGCCTGCCTCTCGTCCAGGAAACCTGGGCCTCTTGTGGTTCTCAGGGAGCTCCGTGTTTGAGGTCTCATCGAAGGAATCCGGCACCGGGGTCAGATGAAACTCTAAGCACCGTGCCAGGTTGGTAACAGGTATTGTCCAGTGTACCAATGACATTGAAAACTAGACTTCTCAGCTGGCCCTGACACACTTCAGACTGAAAATAAATGCAACCAAATTTTATGGGGAATAATACCCCCAAACTATCAATATTTTTAAATGTTTTCTCAAATAAAATACAACAAGAACAAAATAGCAGATGTTTGTGAGACAGCCTAACGCGAGCCAGAGAGAAGTTGTGGCTCCGCTAGAACTCACCAACACCGATTTTTCTGCATAAATATAAATGACCTTAATTTATTTTGTGCCATCTATTAAGTCAAAATGAAAAACTGTGCGAGTCAGGAAACATCAGAAAAGGACACAGCAACAGTACAAATTCCAGCATAAGTAATAACATTTTTACTAAAATAAGTATTGGTTACGAGTGGTCCCTGGGGGCTGGGTCGGACAGCAAACAAACTTAAGATCTGAACTCTTCCCTGAGAGTGTCTCTATATTTCACCAAAAGAAGAGCATCTTAAGTTTACAAGTAGGGTTCTACACCATTTCTATATTCATTTATGCTAAACAAATGTTGCAAGGCAGTATTCTCCATGTACACATATTTATAAACATTATACAGTTAGACAACAGTGTTATTGTTTGAAATTTATTATAAAGGTTAAAAGAAATATTTATTTTTTAAACATTCTTCTTAGTATTAAAACATTATGGAACTACCTGAAGATCACCTCATCTTCTACATCAAAAGAAATTGTACTCATACTAAAAATCAGCTCTGAGCCATTGTCTGTTTCAATATGAGTCTATTTTAACTTATGTTTTACATTTAAGACTATAGCTACAAAACAAGCTTTCAAAAAGAGAATAATCAGTTTACCCTCTAGGATAAAAAAAAATCTACAATGTTGCCTCTGGCCAATTTTTCAATCCGAGAAATGTACTTGATTTAAAAAGTAACATTTTAATAAATGACGCAAATTATTTAATAACATTGCCCATCATTTCTATCGCTTTCTCAGCTTTCCAAAAATGTCACTTTCATGTTAACCCAGTATTTTTTTCCGACAAGGGCTGATACACTTTGACAATCTGAAACATGAACTTGAATGGGAGCCTGAGTAATTGCTGTTTCAACATAACTTGTTGCGATGGAGAAGGTGAGCCATCTGAGAGTTGCCATCTAAACATCTGCAAGAATTGTGGCTGTCACACGCAGCCAGCCTTCAGGACATATCACGGGCTATGCATTTGAACCGCGTGTCGCTGACAGAGACCCACCTCAGGCTCAGGGCCAGCGGCTGCTCCTTGGACCTCAGTAGATCCCCCACTTTAAAACTGGCACAGCCCAGGAAGCTTCGCTGGAAATAAGAGAAAGAACAGCTTTCGTTAGCTTCTGAGTCTCTTCATATTTGTGCTGTCGCACCGATCACACAAAATGAGTCCCTAGAAGAATCAAATGTTAAATCGCGTAGCCTGATAAACACTTCACAGACAGAAATACAATCATCACTAATATAGCCACCTCGTGGGGTCAGTTCCGGGGGAGCAAACGTATCCTTTTCATTAAAAACCAAGACACATAGCCTGGAAAATAACAAAATGTGTCATCAGAAGCCGGGACGGTTCCACCAGCTACTTTTCTCCCCCTATGAAAGCGGAGGTGAGTGAAAGATGGGAAAGTTTTAGTATTTACCGATGCCGCTGTTCTCATTAGAATTCCTCGTCACCGGCAGCGGCCACTTGTATTCCAGATATGAGCAAATCTGTTAGTTGGAGCTATTTTTATGTGGAACTCTGGACAAGTTATAAATAGAAATGCTCTATTTTCCCCCCAACACAGCAATGTTTAAAAGCATTTGTTTCCTTTGTTATTTCTACACTCGCAAGGGACAATTTCATTCTGACACACACAGAAAGAAGGGTACTTGTTCAGTTAACATTTTCTAAAATTGCTTTTTTAACCTATCGTACTGGATGGTGACTATCTACGAATATCTACTTTCTCCACTCTTTGACTCATAATGTAAAGAATAAAACTCTGAATTGGTTGTTCTTTTCTCAAATAAAAATCTTTCATCTCTTTTTAACATTCCTGGCTCCTTCTGATTTAAAAGTCATGGTATTATGGTATTCCATAAATAGGATTTCTCGTTTTCCCCTCAAGGTCAAGAAGTAAACATGAACATATCAAACCTGTATTATTACCTGTGCTATTGCTGCTTAACACCCAGTAATACGCTACAAGAGTCAACACTACATCTTCCAGAACATTCCGTCTTTATAAGTCTGTGCCAAGCTGCACTAGAATGAGAGACTGGAGGCCAATTTGGGTCTTTTCAGAGGAAAGTGTGCAATTATTCCATGCACAAAAGGCTGCATCTGGTCAGAATTTTTCTCCCTCTTTTCAAAGTTCTAATGTAGAAGAACTGTTCCAAAAGGCTTAAAGGCAAACATTTGAAATAAACTCAGTTTTAAAGTTAGAGATGCTTATATGTTAGTAAAGATAAACCCAATTCATTAACTTGAAACTCAAAAAGCTGGTTTGGACACTGAGTCACTAAAGCCAGAAGAATATAATGCTACAATAGTAGTTGGAGAATGTTAGGAGAAAATAGAGGGTTTGCGGAACCGGCTCTGATGTTAGGTCAGTGACTGATGAAATCAGAATGAACCGAGGCAGAGAAGGATGTCCAAGACCTGTGTGGCAAAGCGGGGAAACAGGGCAGAGAGAGCCTAGGAGAGGTCCAGCTGAACAGAAGCACTCATGTGACTTCACTCAGAGATAATACCAACTAGAACGTCCTTATGTACAAGAGCATATAGACTCCGCTAGTCTCCGTTTCCTGTCCTGTTGGGGTTTTCTCTGTTGACACTGATCACCACACAGACACACACACACGTGCGCACACACACGCACACACACAAACACAATTGTTTCTTTTGTACCTCCCCCCCCCAAATAACTGAGAGTTGGAACAATGAGCTTTATTTTGTGTTCTGATAAATTCCCACTGCTGAAAACACAGTAGACACATGATACATACTTACTGACATGAATGACTGAATGACTAAATGATGGACGGACAGAAGGAAGGAAGGAAGGAAGGAAGGAAGGAAGGAAGGAAGGAAGGAAGGAAGGAAGGAAGGAAGGGAGGGAGGGAGGAAGGGAGGGAGGAAGGGCATAAGCGTAGCTTCAAGTAAGTTATCCTATTAAACACAGGAGAAATGCTCTTTCTGCAGATATTTATAAACCACTATAATTCACTGAAATGTGGGAAACCAAACCATTTCAGTGTGTAGACTGTATACTGTTTTGGTACATTTCGTGTCACAGTTTGTATTTTAAAGAGGTCCCGCTTTCCCTTTCACTGATAATCAGCATTTTCCACCTGAATTCCACCCCTCACTTGTTATCCTTACTCAAAGAAAACATTTAACTGATCCGATTTCCTAACTCCTCAACGTTTGCCTTTTGAGATTTTAAAGGTATAGTTTTAGAATTAATAACAAAATAAAACACACACACACATGTCATGAATGTTGTGGTCTGGTCAGCAAGAAAAAGAGCAAATGGCCAGATGGGACTGCGCGCGGAGGGACAGGTGGAGTGGCTATTTTCAGACACGGCCGCAGACGCACCACGCGGCACAGCTGCAGCAGCGGCTGCGACCATGCGCCGCTGACTGTGTCTCCTGTCCCCAGACCAGGCGCTCTCGTGGAAGTAAGACCTGGGCTTGACCATCTCTGAGTGAAGCTGGCGCCGGACGCAGGGGCAGCACAAGGCGTGCTCGCCATCTGCCAGGAATGCCCATGAGTCAATCTTTCCCATCACAACTGTCAGCCACATGCTTAATCCCAAAGGCTAATAAGAGATCTTACAGAAATAACACAACATGTTAAGAATCATCTCGGAAATGACATCATAGCATTACATTCTGAAAATGTATCAGACTAGAGGAGGTGTTAAAAATATTATATTTTTAAAATAACTGTACTTTGGGGCTAGATGTTGCATAAAATCCATGAATGAAACCCCGATACTTCACGACAATGTGTAATTGTTTCACACAACGACACCAGCAATGGCATTGCCTATATATACATTTATTCCCTGGAAGGTTTTCATGTATTTGCTTTAATTCAAAATAGGTAAAACTAGGACCCTCTGCACCCCACCCCACAAAATGGGAAAACACTTCATTTACCTGACTATTCACTGAATCCAGTAAAAGAATGAATTAGAGGGAAAACAGTCTTTATTTTTGAAACCTAGATTCCCATGAGGGGAATATAATGAACAAAAAAAGCTGATGAACAAAATAGACGCAGAGACACAGAAAGGAGTACAGCTCAGACTGACAGACCCCAGAGGAAGGGGCGGGGGTAGGGATGAGGTACACCAAAGAACTTATATGCAGGAATGTGTAACCAATGGACATGAACAACAATGCTTGTGTGTGTGGAGGGGGGGAGGGGGGATGGGGGGAGGGTATCTGGGGGTAGAAGGAGAAACATTTGTAACAAACATTAATTAATTAATTATAAAAATTTAAAAAAAAGAAAATGCAGACAAGAAAGTAAAATAAATAACTGACCTAACAGAAAAGAAAGATGTACTATAAACACACTTCATTTTTGCTGTCACTGTTATCATAATCATAAAATTTTTTAAAAATTTTTTTATATTTAAAATGTAACTCAGGGAACAATGTTTTGCATCTCTCCTTCGGGTGTTGTTTCTAAAATTCTCATCTTAAAGGTTTTAAACTGGGAGCTCCAATGTCAGGGGAAAAAAACTAAAAAAGACAAACAAAAAATATAAACCCGCTAGAGCTGGAGCTCAGAGGTCTCCAGTGTAGTTGGAAATCAATCGCTCTGTTTAAAATGGAAACCCAAGGGCGCGTACCTCGGTTGCAGTTTGTCCCCGGCCCTGGTCGGTTGTGCGGGTGGCAGCCACTCGATGTGTCCCTTTCACATCGATGTTTCCCTCTCTCTCTCTGTTCCTCTCTCTCCCTCCCACTCTACCTGAGCAAAAAATGGAAAAATGTCCTCGGGTGAGGATAAAAAATAAATAAAATAAAATGGAAACCCAGGCAATTAAATTGCTGCCCCCAGTCCCCAGCTGCCTGTCCACTGGTGGCACCAGGCTTGGTTTCTCTGTCTTCCCTCTTACAAACCAGTGGTCCTGGACAAGTTTCTCCACCACTCTCGGCCTTAGCTACATAGGACCACTGTCCCTCCTTCTCATAGTTACTGTTATCAGAGTTAAAGCCACCCAGACAAAGCGCTCAGTACACTGCTGAGACAATAGAACGTATTCCATCATATTAGCTCGCATAGTCATTAAGATAATACACTCAAGCCCTGGTCGGGTGGCTCAGTGGGTTGGAGCATCGTCTCGTACACCAAAAGGCTGCAGGTTCGATCCCTGGTCAGGCACATGTGGGAGGCAACCAACTGATGTTTCTTTCTCATATCTATGTTTCTCATATTGATGTTTCTCTCTCTAAAGAATCAATAACATATCGTCAGGTGAGGATCAAAAAAAAAAAAAAAAAAAAAACAGATAATAACCACTCAGAATTCAGATGACTTAAAAGTGTTATAAGTCTACCTTAAATACTTTTTGGAAAAGTCATATAGATATGTTTTCTCATATAGTCTATAAAAAAAAACTTCTGCCCTGGCCAGTTTGGCTCAGCGGTTAGAGCGTCTGCCTGCGGTCCGGAGAGACCCGGGTTCGGTTCCCGCTAAGGGCATGTACTTCGGTTGCAGTTTGTCCCCGGCCCTGGTTGGTCGTGCGGGTGGCAGCCACTCGATGTGTCCCTTCACATCAATGTTTCTCTCTCTCTCTCCCTTCCTCTCTCTCCCTCCCACTCTATCTGTACAAAAAAATGGAAAAATATCCTCGGGTGAGGATTAAAAAAAAACTTCTCATATAGCCTATGAGAAATCCCTGCAATGAATACATATGTGTGTGTGTACACATATATATATTTAGAAATAAAAATAGATTCAGAAAACATATATGTTAAAATAAATTCTAGATGAAATGTGAAAAAAATATCAAAGGTCATATGCTCCTACAGTTATTGTAGCTGAGCATGTTACCTATGATTCCTTATAGCTCAAATTTTTATCAGATCATGTGGAATGTTCATCAGGGCCCAAGAAATGTCCACCTGGAACCTGAGAATGTGAAGGCTGTCATGCCATCGCCAGTCTGCGATAAAGAAACCGGGGCCCAAAGGCGCTGATGGTCACAGAACTAGTTAATATGCAGAGGCCAAGTTCGAGCCCAGCTTGCTTGCTCTGCAGCCAGCATTCTCTCATCCCCATCACGCTGTGCCTCATGTCCAAGACAGGTGGCGATTCCTTCTGAAGACAGGCTCTCTGCCCGTACCACACGGGCTCTGACCTTTCCAGCCTGCTCACGACACGGCAACACTCTGGACGATCATTCTGCTCCACGCACCCAGAGCAGATGATCAGTAAATGGCCTGATGCACGATTTCAATCACTCACCTGGCTGGAGAGTATGCTATCAAGCAGGGTGGGAAAAAGTAGACACCTGTCGCAATCCCTGGCTGCTCTCCACGGGGCATGTGCAAATAGACAGCTTATCTCACCAGCCCTTGCAGGGACTGAGCGAGCCACAGACATCCCGAGTGCTCACTGGGGTGGTCCACCTCCCTGGAACAGGTCCTCGGTGGTCCCCTGGTCCAGCAGTCCTGCACCAGGAGTCAGAGGACGTAGACGCCCGTACACATGGCCATGAGCTGGGCAAACCTCCAGCGGGTATGTTTATTTCACAAAGCCTCACCCAAAGTACAGGCCTCCTTTGTACCAAATTGGCACGGACCTCCCAGGGCTTCCCAGGTACCAGAGCTGCCCTGGCCGAGGGGCAGCCGCTCGCTGGAGCCTTGCTGGGTCCCAGCTCTACACGGGGATGTGCTTTCAGTGCGAAACACGCGTCAGGTGGCTCAGATGCGGCGTGAAAAAGGAGAGTGACTAGCCATCTATTAATAATGAATTGTATTGGTATTTTGAAATGATTCCATATTGCCTATCGTATCGGGTTAAATGAAATACTAACAGTAATCTCACCTGTTTCGTTTCACTTTTTCCAAAGCCTGGGCTACTAGGAAGTTCCAGATTGCAGTTGTGGTACCCGTTCTATTTCCAGGGAATAGTGCTGGTCTCAAGGACGCGTGGTAGAGCAATGACCCTGTGACCTATTCTTACAACCACACACAGGAACTGTGGGGTCAGTTCCGAAGGTCTTGGAAGAGCGGAAGGTGCACCATGAGGCTGAGACACAGCGCCCTCCCTCACTCAGCCTACAGGACAGGTCCCTGTTCAGAGCCCAGGTGTAGTCTTCTTTCACTGTCAACTCTAACAGTTATGGTTCCTCGGTTACCCTCCCGCAGGAAGGGAACGTGGATACGTGAACTCTTCACACTGCAAAAGGCATCGTACCAATGTGCGTGCTCACGAGAGCCAGCGTTTCAATGTTCTCCCGCACAGAGGGCTCTGCTAGGCGGTGCCAGCTGAGAAGCAGCAAAACCAGCAGAAAGGGACCCTCGCCCCCACTGTGGACAGCATGCAGGAACCACACCCTTGGGAACAAGAGGAGCAGAGGGCGGGACACGTGTGGGGATCAGACTCCACCCCTCCACCACGAGTCCCCAGAGGCACGGACATGTCCAGCCTGCAGCAGGAAACGGTGACAGGAGGGGATGGAAGAAAACAATTTAAAGTCAGAGAAGAGATTTCGGTTTTAAACTGAATAAGATGCATTCCAAGAACCTGGATGAGATTATGAAAAAAATAAATAAATAAATAACAACAGGGAAATGCACACAGTTAGGTCAAGATAGCATTAAAGCTTCAGGCAAAGAGGATTTCACACAGTTGAGGGAGGGGTGAGGAGTTAGCGGGGGGACAGATTAAACCATCTCATCTTGAACATTGGAAAATAAATGGAATTTCTTATAAAATAATTAACTTGGTGATAGATGTCAATTTCAGAAGGCCTGAGATTGGGTGAAGGACACGTAAAGGGTGTGAGGACAGTGGGCAGCAGAGGACCAGCTGGAGGAAGTGCCTGGGGTGGTCAGAGACCACAGGGGTCTGACCTCAGCCCCGGGGGTGGAGGGGACACATGGCCTGAGCGATGGAGGCCTGAGGTTGGGAAAAACCTGCTAGGCCCTTGGAAGAAACTAAACGAAGCCCAGCCGCCTGGGCACAGGGACTGGCCCAAGAGGTGAAGGGGACGGCAGAAAACAAAGCACGGAGATTCTCCCGAGTCAGAGGCACTCAACCAGTCCCTGGAAGAAACTCGAAGCTGTGTCAGGCATGGGAGAGCATCAGGCACCCCTTCCTTCTGCCCTACCAGCGGCCGAGACGGGCGGCGCTCTTCTGAGTCAGTGCGCTCACACGCTGGTGCGTGTCTCCGAAGGGCTGCCTTGGCACTTCAGAGACAGCTGCTGCCAAGGAGGAAGTGACCGGTACCTTGTACCATGCTCCACACACTGGGCTGGAAGTTGTCGATTATCTACAGGAGTTCGGGGCATTTCGATAGGTGGGCCTTCAGTGGGCTTGGACCTAGGGCCTCCCAGACCCAACATTTCTGGGCTTTTCCCACCCTCTCAGCCTGCTAGGCTGTCTTCTCAGGAGCTGCTACGGCCAACTCTAGCCTGGTCTAAGCAAAAATCACCTATTACCATCTTGCCTTCCACAAAGCTGGAGAGGCAGTGATTCACATGCAGCACGGAGACCTCAGCAGGATTTTCCAGTACTGGCCGGCACGTAGGCGGCAGCCTCTGTCTGACCTGCACTACTGTGACGACAGGTGTAAGCAGCAGGAAACAGCAAACATCACCATCCCGAGGCTGGTCTGTTCTCTGCCTCCTTCCTGAAGAGGTAGAGCTCACATCTACAATTTCCTGCGCCTCCTGTCGGTCCAGGAGCATTAGTTTGGAGTTGCATCTCAGCTACCTGCAGGGCAATTTCTAGACTCCTCTCTAGCCAGCGAACAAAGTATCGATTCATTTGAGGATGATTTTCAAGAGGCAAGAAATGAATTCCATGTAATTCAGCGAATACGTGATGGAGCTTCCTTGTCTAGTCACACCCTGCTAATCTAACTCAATTCCATTTGTCAGCTACCAGGCAGGAGGCCAGGGGAAATCCAAATGATTAACTCAGAAGTTATGTGTATACCTTTTGGAAACAAACAAACCAATGCACACTTACCCCAATCTCTGGCAGGGGATCCTTATGTTCATGTAGGACACCGGTTCGAACCTATGGAGAAAAACAAGCATTTTCTATATGACTCTGGAGTAGAAGCCAGTGCGGTCTTCACAGGTGCTGGTTTTTCGGTTGCTTCGTCCGACGTCAGTTCGGACCCTGTGGTTAATCATTGCTGAAGTACCTGTGCACGACAACCACAGCAGCACGGGAAGCTGTCCTTTTATAGTGCCTCGCTGTCCTATTTTCCTAAGTACACAGAGCCGCCTGGGTCCTCACCTGTCGCCACCTGTCAAATACAGAGCTATCTGGCCTGTAAGTGAATCACCTTTAATTTCCTTAAGAAGCACCCCTCATTCAGTCTTCAAGGGGAAGGACAGAGTTGGTACAGAGGAAGTTATTGCATGCATGCTCAACAAGCAGTATTCTCTGAATGAGCACCAGAACCGCGGTCCTTATAGGCTATCCCTGCCCCTGGAGAAATCTGGGCCAGACGATCAGAGAGCATATCTAGATTCACCTGAGAGCAAATTCTCAACTGCGGGAGAGGGAATAGAGTCAAACAGTCAGTCATCTGGGTAAGCCTTTCACAAGAGTGAAAAGCATTCCAAGTGAAATATCAACACCTTCGATGACGAGCAGACATCAACCTTCTACCGAGTAATCATCCTCAAGCCTGGCTGTGCACTGGAATTACTGGGAATCCTTTCAAATTTTGGGTGATCTTGCCTGGCCCCAGATACGGCTTCTTTTTTTTTTTTTTAATCCATTTTTCCATTTTTTGTTCAGATAGAGTGGAAGAGAGAGAGAGAGTGAGAAACATCCACGTAAAAGGGACACATCAAGTGGCTGCTACCCACATGACCCAACCAGGGCCGGGGACAAACTGCAACCGAGGTACATGCCCTTAGCGGGAACCGAACCCGGGTCTCTTTGGACCGCAGGCCGACGCTCTAATCGCTGAGCCAAACCGGCCAGGGCAATATGGTTTCTTTTTCCTTTTTTTTTTTTTATCAGTCCAGAGGTCTTTTATTTTTAAAAATGTATCTTTCTTACTGAAAGTATTGCAGATGTCCCTCCCTTTTCCCCACTGACACCCTCGCCCTGCGCTCGCTGCCCCCACCCTGCCTCGACCGCCCTGCGGGCTGTGTCCACTGACTGCGCATGTGCGTATCAGTCCTCGGTTTCCCTCTTCCCACCCTCCCCCCCTTCCCTCTGAGGCTTGTCCGTCTGTTCCCTGCTGCCATGTCTCTTTAGCTATTTGGTTTGTCAGCTTATTTTGTTCATTATATTCCACAAATAAGTGAGGTCATGTGACACCTGTCTTTCTCCACCGGCTTATGTCGCCAAGCACACCACGCTCAGGTCCCTCCGCGTGTCTCAGGGGTGGGGGATCGCTCTCCTTACAGCCCCGGGGCTCCACTGTGCACGTGCACCGCAGCTCTTTCACCCGCTCGCCCACGACGGGCCCTCGGGCTCGTATTTCTTCCCACTCGCCCGCCGTGAGTTCGTAGGGAGGCCCGAGCAGCCCAGGCCCCCTTCCGCTGGCTCTCACCAGTGTGTTTCTCCGGGCGACGCAGGCTGACCCTTCGCTGAACCCAGGCACGTCCCTTTGGCTTCCTCTTTCTGACCGTGTTCCTTCACGCGTTCAGGCAGCTACCTCCGCGCTCAGAGCGCTGAGTGCACAGGACTACAGCCGTCCTCCTGCCCTTAGCTGTCTTCACAGCAGTGTCCACTGCACGCCGGGGACAGTGAGGACTCACCCAGTCTGTCATGGTGTGGGCCACTCCTTCTAGAACATGCCCATTCCCTTGATGTCTACACTACCAACCTCCTTGTAGATTCGAATGTATGTGGCCAAAGGAACAACTCCCTGTTTTCTTTTCCTTTTTTATTTTATCCTGACCCGAGGACATTTTTGCATTTATCTTCCGATAGAGAGGGAGGGAGAGAGGGAGGAAGAGAAAGAAAGAGAGGAACATCGATGTGAGAGAGACACATCAACTGGCTGCCACCCACATGACCCCAACCGGGGCCGGGGACAAACTGCAACCAAGGTACGTGCCTTTAGCAGGAACCGAACTCAGGACTCTCTGGTCTGCAGGCCAATACTCTAACCACTGAGCAAAACTGGCCAGGGCGCAACCCCCTGTTTTCTAAAAGGCCTAGAGAACACAGAGCGAGGGCCTCTCCTCTTCCCTTTCTGTTCATCATCTTGGTGAATTACTGGGAGATGGTGTTTCTGGCCGAAAAGCTAAATATGGATTCTGATGTTCAGCTGCTGAGTCTGTGGTTCTCTGTGTCAATGAAAGATGCTCAACCTAAGAAAAAGTCTCATAGGAGTTCACCTGAGCCAAACTGACAATTACCAGGAAGCAGAGTCTCATTGGACTGAGAAAATGCTCCAGAGAATGGCAGTTTTGCAGCATAACTTATACGTTACAATCAAGGGAGGAGACGTAAGGGGTTACATGAAATCCAAAGTGGTAAGTTAATGGGGCGGGAGAAAGCAAAGCAGAAACCTCCGGGACTGGGTAAAAAGCAAAATGAGCGGCGCCTCTTTTTCAAGCCGAGTACAGGAGAGTTTGCATTCCCAGCACAGACAGCCGGCGGACACACGGTGACAATGCGACAATGCAGAGCCCTGCCTGCTGCCCGTGGTCGTACCTTCAGTGGGGCTGGAGAAGAAAATTACCCTGACGTTCACAGGTACCATAGATGCTCAAAAACCAAAGACAGTTTCACAGGTGAAGTGCCCTGTGTCAGGGAGGCCACCACCGTGCCTGCTTTGTTAGGGATTTCTACCTTCCGGCCTCCCGGGGCGGTCACTTTTGGACTTGGGGTTTGAAAGGCCACCAGGCAGGACCTGCAGCTTTAGCATGTGGCCTCTTTTTCACTCACATCTATTTATGACAAACATGTTTCAAGTGAAAAGAAGTCACGTCTCTTTCTCACCTTAGGAAAAGCTAGTTAAAGTAAGAGAAAACATAAAGCCCGAATCTAGTGTATCTTGGTCGAAGTGATGATGAGGTAAACAAGTTAACTTTGTGAATCGATGTCACTCCAATGGATTCAATTAAAAAACAAATAAATACAGATCTGTACACTAGCACACTCTGTTGAACTGGAGAGCAGAGGGCTGGGCGGGCCGATGGAACAGAGGGACCCAAGACACCTAGACCCACACTGTCGGGGTCATTTGAGCAAAATCCCTCTGGAGGGACAGTGCTGCCAATCACACTTCTCTGCAAATCCTTTGACTCCTGACACACCTGACCGTGCCAGGTCCATTCTCCCTGGCGGAAGGGATGTGTAAAATAACCCTCATGATGTCATGTGAACCAGCTCCTCATGGCCCGCTCATCTTTAACACGGTTTCTGGTCCTTGCAAACCAGGCCACGGTAAAACAGTCCGTTTTAACTCCAGCTTAACGGTCTTCCTTTGTTTCTTTATGACAGACCCAGCTCTATCGCGGGCACCATTTGTCAGTCATTATGACACAAAATTGTTCACCAGAGCACAAAGTAAATGACAAGAGAGATGGAACAGGGTAAACAGCACAATTTGCAGAACACTCGGCTCGGGGTTTTATGATGCAGTGCTCACTGGCTAAGAGCATTTGCAGTTTGGGAATTGCATCGATGTTCTCTGGTCCAGAATGTTCAGTGGTATCATTCAGCCTCGTTACATGGAAATCATCAGCTGGCCTTCAAGGATGATGAACCCATATATTAACAGTGAGCTGTAGCCCTGGCCGGTTTGGCTCAGCGGTTAGAGCGTCGGCCTGCGGTCTGGAGAGACCCGGGTTCGGTTCCCGCTAAGGGCACGTACTTCGGTTGCAGTTTGTCCCCGGCCCTGGTTGGTCGTGCGGGTGGCAGCCACTCGATGTGTCCCTTCACGTCGATGTTTCTCACTCTCTCTCCCTTCCTCTCTCTCTCTCCCTTCCTCTCTCTATCTCCCACTCTATCTGTACAAAAAAATGGAAAAATATCCTCGGGTGAGGATAAAAAAAAAAAAAAAAAAAAAAACAGTGAGCTGTAGGGGACCCTATAGTGTGTGTATATATGGTATTGTTCCCTCTCCCTCTCCGGCCCCCTCTCTCTCTATATATATATAACATTATCCAAAGGGATATGCTTAAATTCAGAAATAAAGTGAAAGAAGTTAGAATAGAAGCAGGTGAGGGTCAACATATGTAGGACTGCATGATGTGTGTGTGTGTGTGTGTATAATGTGATATAATGTTTGACAAAGTTGAAATTAATACTGACAATTCCTGCAAGGTGGTCATTAAACACTTAAATTTATATTGGTTTCATCAGTAGAACACTTATTCCTTATAAATATGAATAAACAACAAGAAAAAAAAGACTTTTCTTGTTTTAATATTTTTTTTCTTTATTGATTTTAGAGAGAGAGGAAAGGAGAGGGAAGAGATAGAAACATTGATGAGAGAGAACATCAATTGGCCACCTCCTGCATGCCCCCCACTGGGGATTAGGCCCACAATGTGGGCATGTGTCCTGACCAGGAATTGAACCGGCAACCTCTTGGTACATGGGTCAATGCTTAACCACTGAGCCACACCAGCTGGGCAAAAAAAGGATTCTTAACCCAAAGTTGTATACAATGAAAAAAAAATCTAAAGCTATTTACATACAAAATTGCTATATCCAAGGTGTGTGTGTGTGAAAATGTGTTTTACTTTATTTAATAGAATACTTCTGAAAAATATACATGTCACATTTTTCTAAACTAAAGCATGTTTAAATCATTGATGTAGAGTTCTTGATTTTGAGAAACAGAAAGACAAAACTTTTGTAAACCAATTTTAAATTTTATAATGTCAGATTTTCATATGAAACAGTTGTTTTAATTTGTATATATGTACAGTTATAAAACACTGATATTTAATAGTTACACATCAATGACGCATTCTGTGTAATATATCCTTCATTACAGTGAACTCTAACTAGGGGGCCAACACTGGGTTTGCCTGTGAATAAGGTCCCATTGCTTCCATGTGGGACTTCAAGGTCTAGTGGAGGAGACA